AGCGACGGGCGAGCGGGCGGCGGCAGCTTAGATGAAAAAACGGAATCTCAAAACACATTTTTGGTGTTGTAAGAAAAACGTTTATTTTTTGGATTTTGTAAAGGGTCAAGTTAAACGGACGGACGGCAGCTTAGATGAAAAAACGGAATCTCAAAACACATTTTTGGTGTTGTAAGAAAAACGTTTATTTTTTGGATTTTGTAAAGGGTCAAGTTAAAAAATCGCCCCGGTTGCCAAACACGTTTCATTGTTTTTTTTGAAAAAAAAAAAACAAAAACGGCGAAAACGCCATGATTGCCAAACGCTCCCTTAGTAATTAAGGATGGTAACGTCAAATAAAGCTTAAGTTGTGGTTCCTTTAAAAAAAGTATAGAGATCCTCAATATCCTTTGTTGTAAAGAAGCTCTATATTTCACCCAATCAAATTTCTTAACTTAGTGGACCCCATGAACGAAGGAGGTCCTAGATACATCAGGCTCTTGTTGATGCCATGAGTTGAGTGAATGATGTGAGTTTGGATCTTTGTGTTAGTAAACAATACAAGAGCAGGAGGTTAGGAAAAGAGAAGTGACTATAGCTCACAATTTTGGTCCTTTTCATCTAAATTTCTCGTGGGCTAGCTATTTTCGGCCAATAAAAATCCCTCAATGAGGTTATGATAAAGGACTCCCACCCATTCTGTTCGAATACAAATAAAACAAAAAAATCGTATCACTGAGTTTATGATTGTGCACTTCAGAGACCAAATGATCATAACAACACAAACTAGAGAAAAAGATAAATAAGCAAGCAACTAAATTTGGCACTAGGACAAATCTAGGAGCTTTATTTTTGGATTCCCGATACTACAGTACTAAAGGGGTGCATTCATCTAAGTCATTTGAGACACCAAGATAAACATTATTGAGACCGATACTACAGTACTAAAGGGGTGCATTCATCTAAGTCATTTGAGACACCAAGATAAACATTATTGAGATCTTGTTTATCTAAATTATACAAAAAACTCATCTAAGTCATTTGAGACACCAAGATAAACATTATTGAGATCTTGTTTATCTAAATTATACAAAAAACTTTTATATTAGACCTACTAAGATAAACTAATAACATTAGCCCACATAATTAATTGTATACATTCTATACAATCAAGATCGCAGAGAATTTGGACTCAAAAAACAAAAACCCTACATATATGCACTATATATTTTTGGTGTGCTTCTTGTGCCAATGGGCGCCTTAGTCTGAGCGGGACTCGTGCTTTGATTTGTACTCCAAATTCAATTTGGACAGGGTGACCACCTGCTTACCAATGAATTAGGACTAAAATCCTTTGAGAACTAGGATTTGTAGGTGCAAATTGTGGTGATGCTCTGATGGCTCCTGGGATTTGGATTTCACCCAAGGGGTAAAATAGCTTTCCTATTACATCATGTCGGCTTTTTGAGACTATAAATAGGCCCCTCCTCTCTTCAATTTATGCATTAGAAGAAGAGAGAGTTGGTTGATATTATTCTCCTCCTTTATCATCAATCAATCTTCCTTGTTCTTACCAAGAGTTCTATCAAAGGCTTGTTTTCCATATATAGTGAAGAATATCAACTAGCTGCAAGCAATCGAACTTTTTTTTATATAAAGGTGTGACTTGTTTTATCTCCTCCATGTTATATGATTCATACTTCTGTTATGTCTGAAAATTATGACACCGGTATATATATATATGTTTGCCAGCAATCACTAGCTCTATGTGCATCAGCCATGTTGAAAAGAGTGTAGTAGGAGAAGCATCCTCTTCATCAGTGAATGATGTTGTTCGTTGTTTGATTAGCTTTCTAGTTGACAGTCCTCAACCTAATCAGGTAGAAGCAAAGCGTACTCATGAGAACATTTGTTCTCTTCTCATTTGATAAATTTCTGCTCTTGGACAGTCACATTTATAATTCATTGCCGTCCATGAACATCTCCTTTCATCAAGAATTAAAGCACACATAATACGTATATACAAGATCCCAAAATAGCCACAGATGCAAACACTTCATGAATACACACATTAAACAATTTCACCATAAACACATTTAGAAGAAACTAGCAGAGATTTCTAACACCAGGTTACATCATCCAAAGTTACAATCAGGTGTTCTCACAAATTAGAGTCATTTTCATGTTTCAAAACAAAATAAAGTTACAACCAAAGTTATTGTCGATACATGTAGACTGAGATCCAAGATACTTAAATGCTTAAATAACATTATGCTCCAGCAACCTGTGCTCCAACAACCTGGGGGAAACTGCAGCTGGTTGACTCGTCATCCTACAAGGGATATATAACAAGGCATTGCGAGATCATGGCAGTTCATCAAAAAATAGAGTAATCAGAGTTTCACATTAAGGCAATATTTTGGTTTACTGTAACTTTATTTCAAAATATAAGTGTGCGAGTGCAATTGCAGAAATGCTCACCAATGAGTTGTTCGAACACGCAACAGGCTCCAAAAATGCTCTGACATGCTCCGAAGTTACAACCAAGTGTTCTCGTAGCCCTGAAACATTGGCAATGACCAATGAGGTAGCAATAATCAATATGCTAGTGATATTCCTGTCATGCATTAAATAATCTTCTTCAAATTTTATCCTCAACCAAAAGAATTAAATTCAATCACAGCTAATAATTCCAAAGAACATGATAATTATTCAGAAAATTCAATCACAGCTAATAATCACAGAATTAGCAATAATCCGACGTTTTAAGACCGATGGCTTACCTCAGAAAAATTTTCAGAAAGATTGGTTCTTTGGAGTGAAACACTTTGATTTTCGAAGAGATTGTCGAGGCTGGGTGTTGGAGAGATCGCCATCAATAATTCGAAGAGAGAGTCCGGCGTAGACGGGGGAGGAGCTCGGCCTGGAAACAAGTATAAATGATATTACAAAGGAAATTATCTAATCCTGGATAGCTAGTGTACAAGAACCAACATCTCCAATGAAGGGAAAACATGATTAACAATCTGAATAAGGATTATAATGTCCACTTATGCATCTACAGATCGATTAACTACGAAGTAGTTTGGAAATTATACCTCTGAATATTTGCTCAAATGCATCGACGAGGGAGGAGCTCAGCGTCGGCGTCGAAGGAGGAGCTCGGTCTTCAACGAGGGAGAAGCACGGGGAAGGAGCTCGGCGTCGGGGTCAGCGTCGACAGCGGGGAAGCTCGGAGAGGAGGGAGGAACTCGTCGTCGATGAGGGAGGAGCTCAACGTCGGCGTCGAGGGAGGAGCTCGATCTTCGACGATGGAGGAGCACGGGGGAGGAGCTCGGCGTCGGGATCAGCGTCGAAGTCGACAGCGGGGGAGTTTTACGATGAGGGAGGAGCTCGGCGTCGACAGCAGGAGGAGCTCGGTCATCAACGGGGGGATGTGAAATTGGGGATATGGGTGTAGATCACGGGGGAGGTCTTGACAGCGAGAGGTGGGAGGAGGAGGGGGCGTCGGTGTTCGACGTGTCAATGACGTCATCGGCATCGGCGTCGACAGAGGAAGGAGGAGGGAGAGTATTCGGCATGGGAGAGGGACGATGGGAGGAGGGGATCTGGGTGTTGATTACGGGGAAGGGTTTTTGAGGTCATTGACAGCTGTTCTACGCTAATATCAAGTGGAGGGCTCATTTGCAAAATTCCCTCTGATTTCTTACATCCACTGAAATCAGATCTGTGGCTGAGATCTGACCACATCAGCTCCATAGGAGGAAATCCCCTCCTATGTCAATGACCTCCATTAATCTCATATATATATATATATATATATATATAGATAGAGATTCGTGTGCACCTTCATGAGAGAAATATCACCTTCCTCTATGACATCCCGCACGAAATGATACCTGACATCGATATGCTTGGTACGAGCATGATGAACTTGATTCTTCGCCAAGTGAATCGCACTCTGACTGTCGCACCACAAGTTCACATTCTCCTGCTCGATCCCCAAATCGTCTAGAAGACCCCACAACCATAATGCTTCCTTCACTCCCTCCGCCATGGCCATGTACTCGGCCTCTGTAGTAGAAAGTGCCACTGTAGCCTGCAACATCGATCGCCAACTAACTGGAGCTCCATGTATCTTGAATACATAACCAGTAGTAGATCGCCGTCTATCTAGATCACCCGCATAATCAGAGTCAACAAACCCGTCAATCTGACATGTATCTCCACCAAAACACAGACCCGTATCTGCGGTACCTTTCAAGTACCTCAGGACCCATTTCACCGCTTCCCAGTGCGCCTTTCCCGGATTCGCCATGAACCTGCTGACCACACTAACCGCTTGTGAAATATCTGAACGTGTACACACCATGACGTACATTAAACTGCCAACTGCACTAGCATAAGGAACACGCTCCATGTGTGCCTTATCTTCCGCTGTAGTGGGAGATTGTTTACCTGAAAACCTAACATGTGGAGCCAATGGAGTCACCACCGACTTTATATTTTGCATCATGAACCTTGCGATCACCCGTTCTATGTAGCCCTTCTGACTCAAGAACAATCGCCGATTCGTCCGCTCTCTTCTAATCTCCATACCCAGTATTTTTCTAGCAGCGCCCATGTCCTTCATCTCGAACTCTTTACCAAGTTGAGATTTTAACCTATCTATCTCCACCTTGCTTCTTGAAGCAATAAGCATGTCATCCACATACAAAAGGAGATAGATATAATCACCTCCACGAAGCTTTTGAATGTAAACACAACAATCGTAATCGCTTCGGGAAAACCCATGCTTTAGCATGAAGGAGTCAAATCGCTTGTACCACTGCCGAGGAGATTGCTTTAGTCCATAGAGTGACTTCCTCAAGCGACATACATGATGTTCCTTATTCTCAACCTTGTAGCCCTCAGGTTGATGCATGTAGATTTCTTCATCCAAGTCTCCGTGCAAGAAGGCCGTTTTAACATCGAGTTGTTCCAGCTCAAGATCACCATGAGCAACAATACTCAATAGCACCCGAATAGAAGTGTGTTTCACCACCGGAGAAAAGATCTCATTGTAATCCACACCCTCTTTTTGTGCAAACCCTTTAGCCACTAGCCTCGCCTTGTACCTTGTACCACCGAGCTCTGAAGGATCTTCCTTTCTCTTATACACCCACTTACAACCAATAGCTTTTCTTCCTACGGGCAATGGGACCACCTCCCATGTTTGGTTCTTCCGAAGAGATTCCATCTTCTCCTCTATCGCAGCCAACCAACTCTCATTATCTTTATCCCGAATAGCTTCCTTGAAGGAGATCGGCTCATCTTCCTCCACCGAGAGTGCGTATTCAACCAAATTAACCTGCCCATAGTGCTTCAGGGGTTGATCAGCCCCCAGCTTCTGTACCTGCTTGTATGCTCGCTTTGGCATAGTGGAAGCCAAAGTATCCTCGAGCTGCTGCTGTTGTAGTGCTTGTGTATTTTCTTGCTGAACCTCCTCCTGCTCAAGCTCATCATCTACCTGATTTCCCACTTGAACATGACTAGAACCTGGTTGGTCTTTAGGTTCTATCTCAATAACCTGGGACTTTGAAGTCCCAACAGTCCCAACACCATCATCCTTGGGCGCCCTAGCAATCATGGATTTTTCATCAAAGGTAACATCCCTGCTGATCACGAACTTTGAATCTTCTGTACACCAAAGGCGGTAGCCTTTTACGCCCTTCGCATACCCTAAGAATATCGCCTTCTTAGCCCTCGCGTCAAGCTTTCCCTCGTTGACGTGATAATAGGCGGTACATCCGAAAATTCTGAGCCTCTCATAATCTGCATGTTCCCCTGACCACACCCTATAGGGTGTATCACCATCCAATGTCGAATGTGGAGAACGGTTCACAATGTAACATGCTGTAGCCACCGCTTCTGCCCACCATTCGTTGCCCAATCCAGCATAAGATCGCATACTCATTGCCTTCTCCCGCAATGTTCGGTTCAGTCTCTCCGCGACCCCGTTCTGCTGTGGTGTTGACCTGACTGTCCAGTGTCGAACAATGCCCTCCTGATCACAGAACTCCTTGAAAGCACCGTCTGTATACTCTGTACCGTTGTCAGATCTTAGTGTCTTCAATTTCTTGCCCGTCCTGTTCTCAACCATTGCTTTCCACTTCTTGAATGTCTCGAATACCTCATTCTTATGCTTAAGAAAATAAATCCAAGCATATCTCGAATGATCATCTATGAACGAGACAAAATACCTGGAACCACCCTTGGAAGTTGTCTGAGCCGGACCCCAAACATCCGTGTGCACATAATCTAGTATACCTCTGCTCTTGTGATTGCTTTTCAAGAATTGGACCCTGTGCGCCTTTCCGTACACACAATCCTCACAAAAATCCATGCAAGGTTTCTTCAGATTCTTCAGCAAACCCTCCTTACCAAGCAGAACCAGACCCTTCTCTGACATGTGCCCAAGCCGCCTATGCCATAACCGGGTGTGCTCACATGGGTCTCCACCACTTCCATCAGTTCCAACCGCTGCATCTCCTGTCACCGTCGTACCCGAGAGAGTATATAGATTACCGTGACGAACACCCTTCATCACTGTTAGGGAACCTCGAACAACCTTCTTTACTCCGTTCTCTGTAACAATCTTGCAGCCACCGGAGTCTAATGCACCCACTGAGATAAGATTCTTCCGCAAGTCGGGAACGTGCCGCACGTCCGTTAGGGTTCTGACCACTCCATCATGCATCTTGATTTTTATATCACCGAGCCCCACCGTTTTACAAGCATGGTTATTCCCCAGCAATACAGTTCCACCATCAATGCTCCTATAGGTAGTAAACCACTTCCTATTTGGGCACATGTGGTAAGAGCAACCTGAATCAAGTATCCACTTATCGGATGTATCTTCGCCACCCGTAACAACATAGCATTCTTTATCGCTCCCTTCCTCCGATGCGTAACTCGCCTCTTCCTTGCCTTCTCTTCTCTCGGTCTTGTTGTTGTTCTTTTTCCCACCTACTCTCTTGTTAGGACAGTCGACCTTGAAATGCCCAACTTCACCGCATTTGAAGCACGCTCGTCCCGCAAGGGGTCTCGATTTAGATCTAGACTTTCCTCCCTTGCCTTTTCCTCGCTCATTGCTCCTTCCTCTAGCAAACAATCCCTGCGCTTGTTCTTTGTTACCACCAGTAGTCATGTCACCGGTTGCAATCTTTCGAAGGTCATCCCCTAGAAGCGCCGTTCTAGTCTCATCCATCGTCAAATTGTCTCCCACAAGCATCAATGTTTGCACCAGGTTCTCATAAGACTTCGGCAGAGATAGAAGTAATAGAAGAGCCTGATCCTCATCTTCTACAGTCACATCGATGTCCTTCAGATCCGATATAATCCTATCGAACTTGTTGATATATTCCCGGATTGATGAGCCCTCCTCCATCTTGCAAGTATACAATTTGGATTTCAAATAGATCCGGTTTGTTAGACTCTTCGTCATGAAGGTGCTTTCTAACTTCAACCACACGCCCGCAGCCGTTTCCTCTCCATCTACCAAGAAAGCTACATCCCTTTCAAGGCAAAGGATAATCGACGCCCGTGCTTCCAGATCCAGCTCCTCCCAATCCTCATCAGACATATCATTGTGCTTCTTCTCTTTTCCCGCCAAAGCTTTGTGCAATTTCTGCGAAATCAACGTGTTCTTCATCTGCATCCTCCAATAGGAAAAATCATTCTTCCCATTGAATTTTTCAATCTCGTATTTTCTAACTTTAACTGTTTTACTTGTTGACGCCATTCTCCGCTTGTCTCAGGAAATAGTATAGTCGAAAATTAGCAAACGCTGACAGACATCAAACACGGGATGCAGTCGAATATTATCTTGTATTTTGGTCAATGCGCTTATCAGAAATTTCACGAGATTGCTTGCCTTAGATGGGCAAATAAATTTGTCTTTAGCGTGCTTGGTTGGCTGCTTTGTTGATATAGTAGTTCCTATCAAATTAACCAATACTGTTGTGCGCAGAGTCACGTCCACCGCCGCGGAAGCGATATGTCCTGAGAGAGAGCCCTGGCTTATGTTGTCACAAAAGCACAAGTCAACCTCGATATCTGTGTTTCGCGAAGGAAACCCAGACTCAGTAGCGAAATATCTCAGCGAAGTGAGATATTCACTCTTCCTCTCATCAGCGCAAGACCGAATTTTGAGGGATCCTACAAGCAATAGCCATCAACCCAGAAAACAGTAAATACACGAGATTTACGTGGTTCAGCAAACTTGCCTACGTCCACGGGAGGGGTGAGGGGAGATTCCAGTATAAGGAGTACACCGACGACTTGTACAATCCACAAGCTCGTCTGAAAGAAAAAAAAAGATCTAATTTTTATCCAAAAGAAATTGACCTCTCTTTTGTAAATCTCTCTTTTTCTCTCTCAACAACTGCTCACACACAGCCGCAAAAGAAACCCTCTGCGATTTTTTTTTTCTTTGCCCCGCTGCCTTTTCTCCGTAAGCCGCTGTTCCTCACCTTGATTTCACCCTGCAGCCGAAAGACCTTTTTCTTCAACCTCTCTGTCTTTTTCTCTTTCCCGCAGTCCTTTCCAAGTCCTGCAGCCGAGTAAAGAATTTCCCACACGGAACCCTAGATGATCATAGGTATTTATAGGAGATGATGCGGTTATTAAAATGAAACTTGGGCCTTGGCATTTACCCGCTGGATGTTATCTCTTTTCCCATGAAAAGATAAGCTCAGCTTTTACCCGCTGAATAAAGCACATAGCTCCTTATCTCCTCACACGGCTTTTACCCGCTGTGTTTTTTGCCAGGTTGTCCCCATGTACCCCACGTGTTCACAAATACCTACGATGACATGAAAAATTCATCCGGCAACTCCTGCTGAGAGAGAGAGAGAGAGAGAGAGAGAGAGAGAGAGAGAGAGAGAGAGAGAGACTTAATTGTACCTTTATTTTGACCATATTCATCAATAGTGGATTTTAAAACGCTTCGGCTTTATTAAGGACATGTTTGGATTTCATTGAGGATAAGGGGGTGTTTGGTTCAATTTCTAGAAATTATAGGAAATGTTTTCCACCTAAAATATGATTTCCTTGTATTTCTTAAAAAAATTATAGGAAAAGTTTTGAGAAATAAAAAAGTACCAATTTTCTTGTTTTTTGTACTTTGCTTGTTTGGTTCAAAACAAAAAAATAGCTCATAACTTTATAGAAAATAACAAGATTTGGTAGGTTTTTAATTAAATATGGTATGTGTCAGATTTCTGGTGATTTCCTCTCATTTTGAGAGGAAATTGCTTTTTGTAAAATTTGATAGATTTTGATATTTTATAGAAAATATTTCTGTAAATTTTTTGTTGAACCAAACACAATTTACAGAAATCTCTGGAAAACTTTTAATTACAAATTTGCCATTATCAGATGTTTTGAGAAAAGTTTTCTCAAAAAATGTGCAACCAAACAGCCCCTAAGAAAATAGAGGAGAAAAGAGAATAGAAAATGAGAGAATTATCTTCCCTTCAATTCCACCCTCAAATTGAAATAGAATAAATTGATTATAGGGGAATCTAGGGGAATGATGAGGAACACCTTTCCTCTTAAAAACTTTCAAAACGGGGTGAATGAATTATATTTTATGGTTATATTTTATGATTATAGAGGAAAAAGAATGATATTTTGGGTATTTTTATTTTATTATTAAATACAATATACATATATGGTTATATTTCATATATGGTTATATTCTATGCTTTGCGGTTATAGATTTTTTTTATTTGATAAACTGCTTTAGGGTTTAAAGATAATACAATACTATCTTGGTTTATGAGTATACGTAGAAGTAAGCGATTTAAAAATAAGTCAGGGTATTCTCTTTTATTATCGAGGACTAAATAAAATTTGACTTTAGACTTCAACCCCAAGGAAGCCCACGCAGCCAATCTATATCTATCTATATATAGAAGTAATAAGTGGTTTAAAAATAAGTTAAGTTAAGTTATTTTTAATATTTATCGACGACTAACTAAATTTTGATAAATATTTAACAGTAAACGGGGCTTTAGACTTCAACCCAAAGAAGCCCACACGGCCGATATATGGAAGTAATAAGTGGTTTAAAAACAAGTCACGGTATTTTTTTTAATGAAGGACTAAATACTTTTGATAACTATTTAACAGTAAACGGACCTTTTGGCTTCAAACGCAAAGAAGCCCACACAGGCAGCCGGATTCTCAAGGGTGATCCTTTTCAGAACCGAACTAGAGTTTGTGATTAGGGTCTGGAACTTCTACTATAAAACCACCTAGCCCCTCCTCTTTCAAAGTAAAAAAGGTGAGTGATTATTGTTATTTTTGCATTTACTGTTGTTGTGTTAAATT